CACAGAGGATTTGGTCAATCCCTTTTGCCCCCTTGACTCAACATGTGTTTCTTCAATCGCTGGCTCCTGGAGTTTGGCCACCCCTTTCAATCGGATCGGCAACTGACTGATCAACCATTGAAGGAGCCTCTTGGCTTCCACCAACATCCATTGTTCTCCTCATCACCGCCATCTTTGCGGCGTTCTTCTGCCTCGTAAATTGGGCAAGCAATTCATCGGCCATGTTTTCAATTCCAGACCTAGGCAGATCCTCTAAATTAATAAAGATGTCTTCTTTTCGGGAGAAGTCCTTTCAGCCAAATGGAGATGGGCTATTCCTTTTGTCAAAGCCAATTTGGTCAAAAGCTAGATCGACTTCTCTAGTTAATTCTTGTTCCTCTACTTGATGGATAGTCGAGTCGGTAGAAACGTCTGAATCAACACGTTCTAGTTGGACTTCTTTTATACCTAGATCAGTGCCTCTTGCACCTTGTGCGATGATTTTGCCTACTTGTTTGCCGACTGGAGGACCTCCAAGACTAATATCCCTAAGGTTAGTAAAGCTAGGGAATATCAGAGCCGTGAGCTGCTGTTCACCTCTTGGAATCAAAATATGATCCACTGCCACAAAGGTCGAATATATAGGGTCGTATCTTAATAATATGTGAGCAGCGTGTCCCTGCCCTTGGAGAGTCGGACGACCAACGTAGTCAAAAATGATCTTCACTTGCACAAGAACAAGTTTGTATGTTAAAGAAAAAGCTCTCTTAAGATCGTTACCTATGCACAAAACAAAAACAATCAGCATGCATATTTCAGGCCGAATCAAAATCAAATTGGTAAGAGACCTAGTTAGCCACCTGGCTCGCTTTTCTGTCTAGGCACTGAGTGTAGACATTCTTCTTTTTCGCCGAATTTCCAATTGCCTTGGACGGCGACCATGACGTCATTGACCCTCTTGCCAGAGCTGGCAAGCATCATAACCAAGTGGTGGTCTACATCATCAACCTTGCTGACCAGACGATTTAGCCAAGGCATAACAGTGTTGAATCGTGGAGATTCCTAGGTTAAGCCCGAATCAGCGATTTAGTTCGATTATGCTCATTATTATTTGATAGAAGTTTACGTTAGGCTGGGAAGGCATCAAACCCTAAGGATGAAGAATGGACCTAAGAAGGGGATGGATGGAAAAATGGACTCCACCCTCAATGATTAACAGTAAAGGGAATACAATTGTGTTTGTATTAGCCCTTTCCATGTCAACCACATCATCCCCAACAAGGGTCAGTCAAACATCATCTGGGATCAAGAAGTGGCGGTGAAAGGAAGCTACTCGATCCTCAGAAAGAAGAGCTTTCTGGTATTTAGCCATGGCAGTAAATGGGAAGGCCAAAATGAAAGCAAAAAGAGATAGGAAACGATTGGATTGAAAATACTCAAGAAAAATAAAGGGAGAGACTTCAAGGCCCAATGGATCATGAATAGGGCCGTATAGGATCAAAGCCCAATGGGCCATGACTAGGTTGCCGAATTGACATGAAGGCACATATATCGAATTGTTAGGCCATAAGCCGAAATCGAGCAGTCCAAGGGAGACAGAAGGGCTCTATTGGATCAAATTGCTAGCCCATTCCATAAGAGTGTAGTGAAAAGCAAAAGATTATAAAAATGAGAGGAGGAGCTTGAAATAAAGGCATACAAAAAACAAATAAGAACTTAGACTCCAAGTAAGACAGAACACTAAGGACAGATAGATACAGCTGACTAATCCATCAGAGTGAGAGCTCTGGCACCGTTGACCAAAGCCATATACCCATTGCAGACGATATCCAAGTGATCTTGGAGGCCAACTTGGATCAAAGGAGTATTTCCAGAATTCACTTCCCCACAGTTAATTTATTTATTCTATTGTAGCATCAGTGAACTTGGCTTTCGAATGTTCTTATTGTTTTCTGATTTGACTTACAAATTCGGATTCAATTGATGCAAAATTCGATCTAGTTAGTTACTATTTTTATAATATATATATATATATATATATTCCTAAAATTGCTTTATTTTGCTAGGTGTTTGATTTGAGGGCAACCAGAGTTTGTGAAATCTACTATAGATGTATTTCTAAAAATTGTTCATTTCAATAAGAGTTTTTAAATATTTTGTTTGGGACATTTCAATAGATCATAACCTCTTGTTTCAACAGATAACAACTCTATAATGGCTCAGATCTGAACAGATTTATTGTTGAATAGATCTATAATAACATTGAAGAGATCTGTTCAAAATTTGAATAGATAACTTTTTATTTCAACCCACCCCCCCCCCCAAAAACAAAAGAAAAAATAGTTTGGTTGAACAGATAGTTTAGTGTATTTGAACAGATAGTTTGGTTGAATAGATAATTTTCACTCTCTAATTTACACAAATAAAAAATTAAAACATATACATTTAAAAAAATTCAATAGATAAAAAAATTAGATAGACAAAAAAAGTGAAGAAATTTGAATAGATAGATTTAATTTGGAGAAAAAAATTTAGACAGATAAAAATTAAAACAAGAATTTCAACAGATAATAAAAAAATGGACAGATATTTGAATAGATAAGGGAAAAATTGAAGAGATAGTCAAAAAAAATTAAACAGATAAAAAAATATTTGAACAGATAGTTATAAATTTGAACAAATAGTCAAAAAAAGTCAACTAATAAATTAAAGGATAAAATTGAAAATAAGATATCCGTCCAAAATAACAAAAAGATTTCTCACCAAATTATTTCGTAAGGGTAAGGATTGTCTCAAGTCCGGTTTTGGACTAGACCGTATTGTTGGGTCTTTGTGGGCCCACCACGGAGCTTGCATTGCTGATCCGAACTATTCAATGTGTAGGGTTCATAGAGTACTTCATCCTTAAAAACAATAACGTTGATCAGATATTAATTGCTACTTGATCAAATCACATTTTTGTTAACAATTTTTTTAAAATCATATTGAACATTGACATAAATGTGATCTAATCAAATGACCATCAATATTAGATCAACGTAATTTTTTTGTAGAAATGAAGTATTCAGCGAGCGTTATACATTGAATGGTTTAGATTATTGATACGGGCTCCGTGCTGGGCCCACAAGGCCTAACAGTACGGTCTAGTCCGATTACAGACTGGACACAAGCCACACCCATTTCATAAAAAGTGAAACTCTCACCAACAAAAAATATTCATTTGACCTAATACCTTATACTTTATTTAGATTAGATTTATCACTATTTTCTCATTTGCTTTTTTATTTACAATATAGGAACTAAATGGTGTGATATCTTAATTCTAATGTATTTTTCAGTGCTTTGTGTTAATCAATAAAAATCATCTTAATTTTAGTACATCATTACCTGAATTAATTTATTGCACTTGGGTGTAATTGAAATATTTTAATTTGTTTAATCATTAGTTTAATTTTACTATTGTAATTTGTTAACAGTTTATCAATTCATTACCAGTGTAAAGACAACTTTATTTTTTTTGATAATGTATTTCAACGGTTTCAAATATTTTTCACTGTTTCCCTAGTTCATAACTAATAGCACAATAGATAGTAACATAAGATATCACAAAATTTCATAAATTTGCTCACTATAAAGTCTCATAGCGAAAACGACAAAATCTCATAAGAATTTTTTGTTTTTGTTTTTGTTTTTGGGTATGATATACATCCTTTGGTAACTAAAACCACAAAACTTTATAATTTATTTTTTATTATGATACAGAATACGTACGATAGATTTTCTTATTATAATATGATAATAAAATAAAGCAATGGATCTTCGTTGTGATTTATACAATTTCATGAGAAAACTATTAAGGAGGGAGTAAGATTAAGAGCACAAGCAGGGGCCTAGGGAAACACAAGCTTGTTTTCCGTTTGATAATGGAAGTTGTTTTCTGTTGATTCTCATTATATGTTATACCAAACGCTAGAACAATGCAAAAAAAATATTTTTAAATAAACAGAGCATAAAAGAAAGTAATAATTTTATCTTCTAAAAATATTATGTTAATTATGTGTCCATCCAATAAGAGAGTTATGTGATTTAAGTAGTCTACTGGTTCACATGGTTCTCACCAACTTGCACAATTTTTTTTTTTTTTTTTACACACTATTTATTTATATTCATCAAATACTTTGTTAAATTTAATTAGACCTTAAATGAAAATGAACCATATAGGCCTTATTCTTAAAAGATCGACCCCAAAATAGGATATCCAAAGTATAGGCCATAATTACAGAATTTGCATTGTACAATTTTTTATTTAAGTACGTAAATAAATCATGAATATGGTCCATGTAATAAAGCCCAATTCTCACTCGGATCTCAATTTCAATATGACCCCCATGCTTCATTAACCCATACTCCTAAAAAAATACCTATAGTTAAAAAGACGAACCTTACACTAATAACACGATAACTCCAATGATCCAATTACTGAATCAATTGGATGAAAATATACAATTGATATTGTTCAGGCACACGATCATGTAGTGTCAAAGACCCTTACGATAATTTTTGCTTAGTAGGACAGAGCACGAGATCTACTAGTGCACAAATCTATAATTTCAACTAATATAGAAGATTTGAATGTAAATACCCTTAATACAAAAACTTGGTACCAGAGCTATGATGAGAGAGACGAGATTTGAGCGCATGACGTAATCAGAACTATGATACCATGTTAAATCATCAAATTCTTCTAAAAACTTAAAGCTATTATGAAAATATCCAATAATAATTATGAAGCTAACAAAAAATGCGAGACAACAAAGGGCTTTCAGTGGATATCCAATCAAGTATTTGAAACACGGTTTCAGTGGATATTCTACCCTACAATTTAACAATCAAGCAATTGAAACTTAAATTCCAAGCAACAACAGGTCTCTTTTGATGTCTAGATGATAATTATATATATATATATATATAGAGAGAGAGAGAGAGAGAGAGAGAAACATCCAGAAAAGCAACTAAGTAAATGATCACTACAAATATAGTAGGCAATAGTATGAACTATAGGAGTGTGCATTACAAAAAAACAATTTACAATGACTCCCAGATTATCTGGTATAAAGTTTTGATCAACAAAGAACTAAATCGTAATTTAAAGGGGCTGAGAGATTATTACAAGAATTGCGACAGAAACAAACAATTCTACAGCTTGCAGATGGGAGATCAACAAAACCCATCAGCAAAAAATCGAATCCCCCAAGCCCCGATACAAATCTTGTTTTCTAGTGTATAAGAATCATTTTTTCCTTCTCAAGATATCAAAATGAAAAATAATGAAAGAAAAAATAGAAGGTAGGAAAACTCCTAACGAAGCAAAAAAAAGTTCTACCTTTGACTCTACAATGATGAGGTTACAGTTCAGGAAGTTGAAAGTATTGAGATTGCATAAAATTACCCAGAATTGAAAAGTACAAAATTTTAACTCGTGACACAATCTTGGAGATATGGGTGGGTCAGATTCACATACCGTTCCCATAAAGGCTTATATTGGGCAATAGCTAACTTCAGCCACGGCTTCATGTTCCCATTGAAGTGAATGACAGCTGCGCTCTCAATCAAACGGTTATCGATATTGAGATCATAACCCAATCCTAACACATGCCATCTCCGATCAAGCGGCTCTGTCAGTCCGTAGAAAGCTAAAAGCCCAGGAGGAAGTGTGCCGAGCTTCCAAATTGACTGATCCACATTCTGTTGCTGCCAGTAGTGATACCGAGCAGTCACATTTGCTTTCCTCCAGGCAATCAAATCGAAAACATTCAAACCGAATGCCCAACCACAAGCCTGTGGGTCAAACATTGAGCTAATGATTGGATTTGAGAAGTTGAGATATTTGTAATAACGATGAAATGCTTCGAGACAAGTTTCGACTGCTCCGTTCACGTTTCCGTGCAAATCCAGCGAAAAGAGAGGGGTCAGTTCCTTCTGGACAACAACATCATCGTCAAGAAAAACTATCTTCTCCAGCTGGGGATAGATCTCTGGGACGTAAAATCTAAGGTGATTCAACAAAGATATGTGCTTTGGATTCTGGAACTTTGGATCAATTTTCATATCTTGGGACCCTTTGAAGTAGTAGGCTCGTGAATCCATTTCAAGTAGCTGTTTCGCAATAGGAGAGTAAAAAGCATTCAACCAAGTGAAGTCTTCTATGTTCTGCACTTCTATTGTTGACCCTTTAAAGTCATTGCTGAGGAACCAAGCCTGCATTGCCCCATAGGTCACTCCGTTTGTCACAATGTGGAAAATAAGCTGCTTTGGATGGTCAGCATTGCAGACAGTTGAGTTGATAACAACTGAAACAGCCAATAGATTGTCTGAAAATATGCAGAAATGGTACAGATTGTTGTCCACAAGACGGAGAGAGTTTCTTTTCTCGTCTGCAAGCTCTTGTAGAGGCTTCTTTCTAAGCCAATCAGCCACAAGTTTGACATGTAAGCAGTGGAGATTCTTAGGTAATGCTTCGGCAGCCAATTGTCCAAACACTGTGCTTTGAACTGTTGCTGCATTTGCACGCTCTTCAAGGGCTTGAATATGAGACTTCATTGTCATCATTGTGGTTGCAATGTCGTAATGGGCATCAAGGGCCTTAAAAATTAGAGACGATAAGCCTTTAATGATTGGTTCTGCTTCGTCTAGTGTGATGGGTTCCTCCCTCATGGCAGCCTTTGATAGCAAAAATTGGCAACTTCTGATCTTTTGACTGAGCTCCCAAGCAAGACGAAAGTTATTGTGCTCTTTAGCAATAATGACATAAGCTTTTGCAAGTGTCATTTGCTCTGTTAATTGTCTAGCATATGAATTGGCACTCGATATTTCTTCAGTAATATTTAGACGCTTGTGGGTAACCTGTTCAAGTAGTTCACTTTTATCCTGGCAATGAGAGGACATCACGTGCTGGGTTAGTCCTCCGAAGACAATTGAAAAATCGCAAGCAAGCAATCAACAAATTTGGTAAGCAAAGCAAAGTTATTATATGATAGTGTTACTGAATGTCCTTATTCTATGAAACATTGAGATTGAGCTGAGAGGCAGAAAATTTGCTTTTAACTGAATTTAATAGTTACTTATGTTGGTAAACTTTTTTCTTTTTTCCAATAAAGTTAGTCATATGAGCAAACTTGCCTCTAAGAAGCACGGACACGGATATGGATATAGATACGGGACACGGCGATTTTAAAAAAATAGAGACACAAACACAACGGGGACGATGAAATAAAATATGTTTTCGTATATTTTTATTTACTATCTACATTAATATTACATCCATAAACAATCAATATTAACAAAAAATAACTCAAATTCTTTTTTTTTTTTAAAAACACTTCTAAATTAACGCTTACAATTTATATCTTTTTTTTTTTTTTTTATGGATGATCTATTAAGGCCTCGTTTGAAAACAAGCTTTTTTAGTAACTTTTTGGCTTTTTTGGCTAAAATATGATGTATAAAAAACCAATATATTTGGGATGGCTTTTTGCTTTTTTTACGAAAAGATGTGCAAAAAATAGAAAGAAAATGAAATCTTTAACTTTTTTGTATAGATTGTTGGTTTTTTGATTTTTTTTAGTGACATTTTAACTTTTTGACTAAAATCACCACTTTCCAAACCAGGCCTAAGTATTTAAATTTAAGAAAAAAATAATAAATATTCAACATTCATCAAAAGTACTAAATAAAATAGGAGGAAAAGACAACTTGGCATGTCCCTAGTATGTCCCCGAAGTGTTCCCGGCGTGTCCTCTGAAAATAAATTAAAATTAAATATGGGAACATGCCATGTGGTGTGTCCCATATGTGCCATGTGGCGTGTCCGTGTCGTGTCCGACACGGACACGACACTTGTTTTTAAGTGTCAGTGCTTCATAGCTTGCCTGTAGTTTATCACAGACCCAAAAACTGACACCCACACTCAACATACAGACACATGTATGCAATAGAGGAGACACGAGCATTACAGACACTTCTACAAAAGCACCATTTTCCGTGTTGAACACTGACACTTTACAAGCATTCCTAAAAAGGTGTCCAAGACTACAATATTTCTTGAACATGTCCTAATTTAAAAATGAAATTTCATAATTTTAGACACTTTGAAGACACCTAAGAAGCACCGATACGGACACAGACACGGACACGCAACATGACAAGGACACATAAACACCAAAATTTTTGAAAAATGCACGACACGAGACATTGGGGACACATGTACCAAACATAAAATTTTACATATTTATTATATGTCTTATTTAAAAATATTTAATGTATTTTATGTCAAATATTTAAATTCATCAAATTTATCGACCTAAGGTATGCTATTTTAGAAAAATAAATAAAATTTTGAAAAAAAATAATCCTCTGCGTGTCCCCAACATGTCCTTAGTGTGTCACAGCGTGTCCCAACATCTCTGACATGTGTCCAGAGTGTGTCCGGCTCATGTCTGTGTCTAACACATGTTGGACACCTGTACGTGACCTTCGGAGAGGTGTTCGTGCTTCATAGGAAGATACTTTCCATGCAATTTACGTAGTGACTCTTTTAATAGAAATAACGTTCAACATTCTAGGGGCTTCATGAGAATTTCACAATTTTAACTAAAGATAATTAGATGCCAAAACAAATTACATATTTTCATCTATAACATGCATAGAAGATGCACAATATTTAAATGTTGTTATCTCCGGGCTGTGTCCACATCCTAGCTTTTTAGGATTTTCCATGTCAATGTGTCTGCATCGTGTCGTGTAACCTATCCATGCTACACAGAAGAGGACTTGGTTTCCATACTTTCTACTATTATGTGGTTCACTAGAAGAGATGCATACAACTCAACTGGCTAGGACCACTTTTATTCATCATTTCAGGTTATAAGACAACTTTAAACCAAGAGTGGGCTCTTCATCTTGAGAAAAGGCATTCTTTGAAAACAATATAAATTGCTCCCTTCAATAAACAATGAATGAATTCCACAAAAAATGTGTGGAAGAATTGGAATTAGCACTAGGTTTCCAATAGGGCAAGAAATTTTCAGAGTTTCTCATTTGTATAAATGAAAATATGTCAAGTCAACTTACACTTTGCTAATTCACTATAATTCCAATTCCAGGAAGCTGAATTATTTTATAATTAAATTTAGGATGACTTGATACATGTCTATGGGTGTGACTGGGTGTAGGTAGCACACTATGGCCTTCTGATTATAGCAATTGCCATTGAATTGTTACGTAGTCTAAGACCCAAAGGTTGAGATAATTGCAGTCTCTGGTGGTGGGGTTCACTAGTCAACAGTGTTGGCAGTGAAGAATGATTGTTGAAGGTGAAGCACTATTGGTGATGGTGACAGGCTGCTAAGATATGTCTTTTATTGCTCTAAATTCCATCCTCCTTTTTACAAGAAAGATGAAATATAAAATGAATCCATTAAAAAGTTAGAAATTGCATCAATTGAAGACAAGATGAGTTGAAGTCGTTTGAGATGATATAGTCATGTGAATCATAGATTAACAAAGATGAGTAGTTTGATCAACAATGCGGACAGTAAAAGAAATAGAGAAAGGCCTAAGAGAACTTGGGTTGAGTTGATAGATGTAGAATGTACTAACCCGTGGTGTTAGGGGTTTGCTGGAGAATGGCTAAACACATTAAAGCTTTGTGTGATGCTTATGCACCCTTCCTTACCTTAATAAAGTAATTCTTAAGGTATTCTTAATGGAATAGTTAGCGTCTTCCTCTTCTCATTTTTCTTCTCCTTCTCAAGACACAATTCATTAGGATGTTATTCACAGCCTTAAAAGAGTCGCAATTTCAACCCAGAAAAAAAATTCATATTATCCTAAATCAACCTTAAACCCTTCCAACTACCTTTCACTTTCAAAACCTAACCAATTTAGCCCCTCTTCCCTCTAGAAACCTTAGAGCATTTCCTCTAGCTTATACAATCATAACACTAAAGGCTCCTTCGTCTAAACCCATCACAATTCCAGTTGCAGACAGCAGAAGGCTGAATTTCCTAATATGTCCTACATCAATTCTTATCCTAAGTAAAAATTTGCAGTTCATGTTCTTGACTTTTCCCACCTACAATGTGTTGGGCATGATGTGTCTGTAGACACCTTCAAAATTTTAACAGCAACACCACGATGAAACCTCAAACCAGCATTAAATAAGTCCAAGCTCTATTTAAACTGTGTCATATATCAAACTGTCAGTAATCCAGAAAGAGGCATAATTATTCTTTCCAATTGTTTAACCCTAAATAAGGTCCACAAGAATAAAATAAACCATAAAGTATTTCAATTTTATATAGCAATTTCAATCAAAAAAAAAAAAATTTACCAAGTAATGCTTCATGTAAGAATGACTATTTGTACTCCTGTAAATGTAAGCTATTTCACAAGAACTCACGTTTCTCCATGCCTCCAAGGTCCCGTGTTGACACAACAAATCATGGGTATGAGTATAGTTGTCAAAATTTTGAAATCCTAATTCAACATGACACATAATTGGTATTCTTACAATTGATAACGGAATCTTACAATTTGATTGTGGATTCCATGGGTTAAATCTCTTATTTTATAGATTTTGACTAAGCGTAAGTGAATCATTAAAGAATCCCATAATTTGCGACTTGGATACAATTCTAATAGCCTTTCAACTGTGACAACCACAAAATCTCTCCTCTATCTTCCCCCCCTCCCGCCTTTCCAAAATAACTTTGCTATGACACTTGTACAGCCTATGGTTGAATATAGTATTCTTTGCCTCTCTTCTCTATCTTAATTATTGGATATCTCTAGACTCTCATTTAAGAAAGGAAAAAATTGATCAACCCTTCTCTCTAAAAAGTCAATTTAAAAAATTATTTTTCCCATTTTATGTTCCTACATGCAAAGAGATTGTTTTGAAGTCAATCTTTTTAATGAGGTTTTTGCACTTTGTCCTAGGTACTTGCTTCAATGAGATATTTCAGTAGACTTCTCCTATTATGTAATTATATGAGAAACTTATGCAAAGCAGGAAATAGGAAATTAAAGTCAAGAAGCTATGAGAATTAACAATGACATAAAATACATAAGTACAGGGGAATCGTTAGGTTGTTGTCTACTAGAGTTAGAATAAACAACTAGAGAGTTATAATTTAGTAGGAAACATATGCAACTAGAAATCTTACTGGAAGGGTTTCAAATAACCACTCTCACCTTTATTTCAAATCTATCCTTGTAAGTTATAACAACCTTAAATCCATTGACGCATCTTGTTGAAATCTAATCTAAAAAGTAAATACATTTAAATCTAAGCCATACTACTTTAAATGGTTTTATATCTAAGATATACTCCTTTAAAACATGAATGTTAAATACATAATCCCAACATCAAAAAAAATTGCAAACTCTTTAAGTCTTAATTTTTTTAAACAATGGGTTATATTCAAACAACCAATCAAGGCAACTGCAATGTTCCATGTATGAGCACAAATGAGAGAGAGAAGGCCTGCGAATGATTATATTATCCATATTCAGTCAGAATTTCAGTCATTCTTGTAATTCAATAGTATTAGTTGAGAATCTGAGATTAGTTTTAAAAAAGGTGAAGACTTCAAATTTTAAAATATTGAACTAAATTTTGAACAATGTTCCAAAACCGCCTTGGCAAAACCTAGATCATCTAGCATTATGTTCCAAGAAGGATAGACGAACCGCAAACAAGACATCTTTTGCATAGTAGTCGCAGTTTACCCTCTAAAATTATAAAGACAAGTCAAAGGTTATGGATTGCTGTTCTAATGTCAGAGAAACTTCATATTTTGGCTTTCTGGACAAATGAAAGGGACAGAAAGACTTTACAAGAAAGGAAATGGAAAAGGGGGAGGCGGAAGGAGAGGGCGAGGTTGCAGGAATGCCTTCACTTAGATGTCAGCAGTGGAACCACCTAAAACAGGATGGGGCAATATCCCTATAGTGAAATAAGACCAACAGATCTCTCGTCTTGTGGGCTTAAAAATCTTCGATGTATATCAAATGACCAGTAGAAAATACAAGCTCATAGTTGACTCTCAATATCCTGCCTCTGTTTTCACTTCAACAACTGTGCCTAGATGTCTCATTGATATTCTTCTAATTAAGAGTACTCAACTCGGTCCAGGCATCCTTTTTTAAGGTTCAGAAATATGAAGAATGTAATGCCTATGCAACCATAGAAACATTTTTTATAGTGGAGTACAGTGAGAAGAGGAGAGATCTTCATATTAGTTTTATAGATTTAGCACCCCACAAAAAAACTTATAATAAAATGCCTAGAGATATAATATGGTGCGTGTTCAAGAAAAAAGGTGTGATCAAAAATTATATTGATGCAATTAAGGACATGTATGTTAGGTTTGTCACTACAATTAAATCACTTGTTAGAGAAACTAATAAATTTTCAATCACTGTAAGGTTGCATCAAGAATCAACTTTTAGTGCTTACATATTTGCTTCGTCATGGATAAACTAACTATACACATTTAGGATGATGTCCCACGATGTATGTTGTTCGTAGTTGATATTGTTCTAGTAAATGAAACTAATGAAGAAATTAACACAAATATAGAAATTTGAGATTCTAGAGATAAGCACTTGATCAAAAGGGTTTATAATTAGTAGAACTAAAACTAGATACTAACTAAAAATATTAAAACTGAATATATGCAATGAAACTTTAGTAACAATAGAAGCATAAATAAATGAAGTAGTGAATATTGAAATTAGGAGATAGCAAAAAGTGAACATTTTCGTTGCCTAAGTTCAATTTTGATAAGGATGGAGAGGAAGGAAAGGATGTAATTCATAGAATCAAAATAAATTGGTTTGAATAAATGAATGCTTCTAACATATATTATATAATTGACGAATACAAATAAATTTGAAAAAAATAAATAAATAAATAAATTTGTAGAACAATTATAAGGCTAGCAATGCTTTACCAAAGAAAATATTAAGCAACTAAGAAACAACACTTTTTATGAAATTAGTGTAGCTGGGATGAGAATATTTAGATAGATGGGTGGGTAAGGCTAAGAAATATAAAATTATAAATGAATATATTCGTGAAAGGGTATGAATAGCACCAATTGAAAATAAGTTAAGAAGGAACAGACTAAGATGTTTGGTCCTATACAAACCAATAAATATAGATGCAATCACCATGAATGGAAATCTTAAGAAGGATGGAGAAACCTAAACTGACATGAAATTTAATAGTAAAAAAGATATTAACGGAGTGCATAGCCCTCAACAGAACACAAAAAATAGCCGACCCAACTGATTGAGACACAAGGTTTAGTTTGGTTTGATCAAATTTTATGTACCCACATAACAAACATCACTTTAAAAGAAAAACCAAAGAGAACAAAAACAATTAAACGTAAAACTGATATCCTCAGTAATCCTTCGCCACAACAAATTGAGAAATTTATTTATTTATTTATTTATTTTTTTTTTTTTATTTTATTTTTTATTTTTTTTTATGTCCATAATTCACATAAACAGAGCATCCAACCGACAGTATCACATATCAGATTGTGAAAAAACACTTATACCAATTGAAATATATCTAATTCAAGAAACAAATATGACAATACAAGCAACATACAAGGAACCCAAAAAACAAAATCAAAATACGATCTGTAATATGTTACCAGTATTGGCTGTTCATCCCGATCTTCATGGGGATGATGATGAACAACAACAAATAAAACAAATCCAACAACTGAGATTAGCCCAAGAAGCCCCCAGATCCACCATGAAAACCTCCTTCGAACCGGGCGCCGGTAATCGACCGCCCGCCGCCGCATCTTTTGTCGGTTACCGACAAACGAATTCAAAACGACCCATCATTCAGATTGGATCGAGGAATCATTGAAATAGAGTCTCAAATCGAAAATTCACAACGACCCATCACTCGATAAAGAACCAAAATCAAGAATCGGAATTAAAAAAAAAAAAAGGCAATGAAATGAAATGGGTATTCCTTGGATAGTTCTTGGTGCCAATATATGAAGTCAGACTAATAGAGAAATTTGAACCAAGTAATGTGTGATTTGAGAGGTGATTGAGATTGAAAGAAGAGGGTATTCGTGATACGTATGAGAGGGTAGAGAGTGAAGGAGAGTGAAGTGCTAGCTTTCTCCACAGGAATGTCAGCTTCAAGAGGGAAGGAGGGAAAAAATGGCAAATGGGGGGAGAGAGAATGTCAGTGGGAACTAATAAAGAGATGCAATAGTGGCAGCTTACAATTAAGGGGTGGGCCAACACATGTTAGCATGTGCCGTTGAATTATTATTATTATTATTTTTTTTTTTGAGAGATAATAATACTAATAAGTTAGGTTTGATACTTGTACCAAATAAATTTTTTATTTTCTTATTAAAGAAATTTTTAATTTTTAATTTATCAATTTAAATCTTACTTTTTTTTAATTTTTAATCTAAACTATCTATTTATTTTTATTAAATAAAATCATCAAAAAAAGTATTTTTATTATTAAACTCAATATAAGTATACTTAAAATGTCTAAAATATTCTTTTTCGTTGATTTTAATGATTCAAATACTATTTTTCCGTCAGTTTTACTTAAAGAAAACAGACAGATGGTTTAAATTAAAAAAAAAGTTAAAAAAATTAGTATTTTAATTGAAAAAATAAAAAATTCAGAATTTATTTAAGACATTTATTCATAAATCTCTTTTTATCTATTTATGTTCTACTTAGTCCAAATTATTTTATTATATTCCAATAAATATTATGATTGGCGTAATTATCAAAATACCCCTAATAATAATAAAGTGAAGCGCGCATTAATGTTCATATTAACAATGTGAATATTCTGTGATGTGAAACATTCACACTGTCAAATATTAAAGTTCATATCACCAAATTATTAAGGATTCAAAAAATATTTATAAGGGTAAAATTATCTATAAAATACCTTAAATATGAGAATTAGAATTTGATAGATCAAATGTCTAAATAATAAGACTTATTAGGATACAATAATATATTATGGACTAATTGGAATACATATACTTAAGAAAAAGATTTTCTAATAAAATACTATGATCAAATCCTAAGGAAAGAAAAGTATGATAGAAAATGAAAATGATATAAAGTGAAGTAAAAGAAAAGAAAATGAAATGAAAATTATTTTCATGCATTCATTTGAATAGATGAAAAATTTTGTAAAAAAATGATGGGAAAAAAAATATAATCACGACATAACATGGAGTTGTGGAGAGAAACATGGACAAAAAGAAAAGATTTAATTGTACATGAATATCTAGTTTCCATTACTTTATAGGACTTTCTATCTAAACAAACACACACACACACACAAAAATTAGGGTTGTCATAATTTATTTAATTAGTGTATGCTTTGAATATCTAGCTTGTTGTGTTGTAAGTCCTCCTAATGTTAGTTCTTCTCTCTCTCTCTCTCTCTCTCTCTCTCTCTCTCTCGTTTGAGAGTTATTTCAAATGATTAATGGTTATTCAAGGCATGGGAAAGAGACCTATGCTCAATGGCTTAATCTCTACGGAGGTTCATGGTCAAGGCATAGGCTCTCTATCATGCCAAGAATCCCTTCTCGTTTGATATTTCTTTTCACTTAGTGGACTCAACCATCACTTTGGACAAATTGATTAAATAATGGAAATGACTAATAAAATCGGCTTAAAATGAACTAAACCGACGTAAAGAAAATGATTAGAGTTGGTTGGATTTGGCCGAACGTTATGCCAAGTTCATTACTCTAAGAATTGTCACTTATCAAGCCATGATACATTGATGAGACATGGAGCGTGTCTACTTCCCTGTTTGAGCCTTCATGATAAGAGGGAGGGGTGGTTTTCCACTACATTTATTCAATTTTGTCCAAACGTATTCGAAATCATCAAGCCATCAAATTGTGCTTGTTGGTGATTTCGGACTCGAAATCGTTATTCTCTTGAGTTTCCCATGACAGAGAAGTGCAAAAGGGACAAATGGGGCCTAGCAAGGCTCTGTCTCACTGTTCTCACCTCAGAGCACAAAACATTTTTTGGCATAAAATTAGGGCATGACCGGCACTTTTTTGACTGGTGTAGACACCCAATTTTTGACCGACCTTAAGACTTAGACGTCATCGATTGAGCACTCGGTGATGGTGCATGTTGTGCTCGTATCGAGTCTCTGGAGTTTGGGCTGAGAGCCTTGCCTTCGGGCCTCTGAACACTTTTGTGCTTCGGCTCGGTTTGTGGACCAAATCTTGTTTTCTCTTCCTGGAGGGAGGGAGAGGTCTTGTAGACCATCTCTTTGTGGTCGTAGACCACTTTTCCCGTTTGGAGACTAGTTTCCAGTTTTTGGAGCCTTTGGTCGCGCGCCTTGTCTCGGGACCGCTTAACGTTCTCTGTTTGGCGTGATTTTTGAACCACACCTTGTTGCCTCTGCCTAGAGGAACACTGTGGTCCGGGAGACCACTTTTGTAGTTGCATACCACTTTTGGTGCTCGTTACCTAGTTTTCGGGGCTTTCGGCCGCGTGCTTTGCCTCCCGATCTCTCGTCTTGCATCCGTTTTGGTTTGTTTTTGGTACAAACCTTGTTTTCCTTGTTTGGAAGGTGGTACAAGGGTGGGAGACCAGTATTTCCCCTGCCCGACCACTTCTTCCTCTGCCAGCTAGTTTTCTGGTCGGACAACTGGCTTCCTTGGTCTTTGGGGTATCTTTTCTGGTCGGCCACCACACCACTGCATTGTTTTCATGCCCTGGACTCTCTCCCACCATGGCCGACCAAATTTTGCTCTCAGAGGCCACTTGAAGTGGTCGGCCGACCACTTTAAGTAGTAGGCCGACCACTTGAAGTGGTCGGCTTCTTTTTGACACCTTTTTGGAGATATTTTCCTCCAGCTACAGCTGGAGGACATTAGGGCTATCCTCCATACACGTGTATGGAGGGATTGCCTTGGTGCTTAGCTTCTCCTAGAAGCTTTGCATTTCCTCTTCTATAAGAGGGAGGTTCCTCCTTCCTCCTCTAGGTTCAGAAAAACTTCCTTGAGCCATACATATAATCTATATCTATACATCTTCATTTCTCTCTTGTTTTGTGCCTTAAAGTGTAGATTTGTCTCACTTTTGTACACAAACACACACTCAAACACCTTGCTTGTGTTGCCGAGGCTTCTTGAAGTTGTTTTTGGTGTTCTTGATTTGCTTTGAGCTCTAAAAACTTGCTGAAGTTGCAGTTATAAAGGAGGTCTTCAAGGGTGAGTCTTTAGCCCTTAAATCCCTCATTCTTTCTTAAGCTTTTAGCCCTTCTTGCATACATTTTTAAGCTTAATTCTTAACTAGAAGAAGTTCTGTTCTTGCATGCTTAAGATCTTTGTTTAAGGTCACTTTTTCGTTTGGGGTATTTTACCCCCTCTTAGGCCTTGTTAGGCCTTATTTTGAGCCATCCCTTTAGGCTCTTGTTGAAGCCTTTGCATGACCTTTCTACCACTAAAATCCAAAGGAGTTTTAGTGGTGGAAAGGTGGTTTTGGTGTCCTAAATAGGAGAGGGTCATCCCCTCTCCTTGTATTTTGTTTACTTTCTTCATATGCCTCATGTTTGAGCATCTTTGTTAAGCTTTTGTTGGCCATATCTTAGCTTGTATTTGTGGTTATTTTGCTGAGGCATACCACTTTTTTTGCTTGGTTTGGTCACTCCATGCATGGTTAATACACTTGTAGTGTAAATCACACAAACTAGCTTTGTATGCTTCATGAAGTAGCATGGCATTCTAGCTTGTTTTCTTTCCATTTCAGCATGTTTTTGGTGATGCTTTGCCATGTCATGACTCTGTTTTGGTTTGGTTTGGTTGGCCCTTGCATGCTCCATGCACTTGTAATGCAATTTCATGAAATAGCGTAACATGCATCATACTTTAACATGTCATTTTAGCATGCTTTTGGCTTAACTTAAAGAAGATTTTGTTCATGTTTTACCATGTTTAAGGTCTGATTTTAGTTTTTTGGCCATGCATGACTTTCTTTGTATAGCCTTGGTTCATTCTAGCTTGTTAGCTTTGTGCATCAAGTCCACTAGTATGCATTACTTGGACTATTTTAATTATTTGGCATCATTTATTATGTGATTTTAGTCCATGTGTCATGGTCATTCATTCACATTTGTCATTCATTCAATGCGTTGGAGGGTTTGCCCCTTTATGCCTTAACATGAACCATTGTGTATGCCTTCATGCCATAGCTTGCGAGCTCTCATTTCAGTGTGTTTTTGGGGTTATTATGCCATGATATAATTCTAATTTTTATTGGTTAATTCATTCCATGCTTAGTCTTAATAGGTGTAGTGTAATCCGCCTTATTTGTCTTGTATGCATCATGTCTTATACCCTCCATGCTAGCCTATTTGGGCTTCTTTCCATGCATGTTTTAGACTCATTTTAACATGTTCTAAGACTATTTTGGGTTGCCATGGTCACATGCTTCATGTTTTGTATACTTGTAGTACAAATGCTCTTGCTTGCCTCAAGCTTTGAGCACCATTGCATTCTTCACTTGTGTTGTGTACATGATTTGGCATCACTTAACATAACATTTTAGAGCATTTAGCATTGCCATGTTCCTACCTCAATCATGTTTTAAGTGCCTTTGAGTGTTATGCATTGTTGCCTAGTTTATGCCTTAGCTCGTATGCTTGCATGCTTAGGCCTTTGAGTCCCTATCTCAGCATGTTTAGGTCCTTATTTTGACCTACTTGAGCTCTGTCCATGCTTAGTTCACGCATTTGTGCCATGTATTGCATGCCTCATGTATAGTCCTCGTTGCTTGTCTTAAGCTTTAAGGACCATTGCATGCCATGCTTGTGTTAATTAAGTGATTTGACATCATTTCTTGTCTAATTTCAGTACACTTAGTGTTGTTACACTTCCATGCTTTTCACTCTTTAAGTGCTCTTGAGAGTTGCACCTTAGTGCCTTAGTTGGTGAGCCAATTGGCATGCATGCTTGTATGTGTTTTCGGTGCCTTCATTTTAGCATTATGGCCACTGTTTTGGCATGAATAAGGTCTGTCCATTTTGGTTTAAGTCCATAGAGTATATAGTTTGCATGTTGTTGCATGTTTGGTGCATTGCACATTGTTGCCCTTGTTGCATTGCATTGTGCATGCATGTATTACATTGTGTTAAGAACCCTCATGATTGCCTTGCATTGAGTA